TGTGTCAAGGACAGAAAGGCTGATGTGGCAGTGGAAGGTGTCAAAGCAGTTTGGAGAGAAAAACAAAGTAAAGAACAAACAAAAAAGAAAAAAAAAGAAAACGATTAATCGATTATTAAATTAGTCATCGATTATTTTAATAATCGATTAGTCGTCGATTAATCGATTAATCGGGCAGCCCTGCCTGTGACATGATTATCCTTCAAATACAAAAAGCCAACGAAAACATATTTATATTTAAGAAAATTAGCACAATACACATTATTTTACCCATTTTGTCCCATAACTGGCATATTTTCTCTTGAATTTGGCTCAGCAAAGTGAAACAGGAAGTGACATCAAAGGGAACTCTTTAAGAAAATAAACTCTAGTCTTTATTTATTGAAACAATCTTATTTAAACGCTTCTTCAACTCTGATAGTGACTCAAAATAATCTAAAAGAAACATCAAATTCTTCTCTGCATCGCTCTGTTTACATGCAGACATTCCTCTTTGACATCACTTCCTGTTACTTCACATGTAAATACACAACTGTTCATCTCAATGCCAGGTACAGCATGTTATCAATGTTCTTTCCTAAATTGAATTCACATTTATTACAAAAATTTGATGTCACAGGCACTTTAAACGTATAAAAAGAAAAACACACAAACAAATCTTGTACTTTCAAGATTGAGTAGAAAAGTTTGTCACAATAAAATTATTTTTTGTGGACTATCAACACATGAAGATCCCACATTAAGATTTAAGCTGCTTTCTAGTTTATTTTCTTTATAAAAAAGTTTAAACTCGTTCAGGAAAGACACATAATAAACATTTGGATCCTAGACCTTGGTGTTACTTGTTATTAAGAGTTATTAATCCCAGATTAAATTTGATAGGGTTCATATTAAATAAACACTTAATTCATTAAATAAACTCTTTAGTAAAGTTGATTTGTATCATGTATGGAGGTAGGTACAGACTGTTTGTAGTTAGTTATTCACCCAGAACACTTTCATTTTCACTTCCTTTTAGCGCAAACATTAAAAAAACACCAAGGACAAAAAAWGAAAACATTTTAAATTTAAATTAACGAGTGAGCGTGAACCCATCGGTTCATTTTATGTTACGACCTGAAGATAAGAGCTGTTTTAACCTCCTTTTATTTATCAATAACCTGTCGAGCTGCTGTGAAGTTCAACCTAAAGCTGTTTTTTATCTCATTTCCTGTCCTAACTGAACCAACTTAAAACGACAATCAGCTAACTCGGCTGCACCTGCAGTAATCCTCCGSTTCATGGTGCTCGGGACACACAGAAGCTAAATGTGGCTGAAACAACTAATAAAAGGTTCATACCTGACCAGTGTGGATATATTTAAACACACCGTCTTCGTAAAAAGCACCAAGTTCTCTCCTCCCCGGCCGTGTGTCGGTGAGGTTACCGTCTCTGAGAGCTCCAACAAGCGGCCGTTCGTGTCCTGCCCGGGCTAACCGTAACGTGCAAAACCGCTCTGCCCCGGGTTTAAGCTTTTTCTCTCTCCGACACCCACAGAGTGTCCACCAACAGTCCGGTGTTGTCCGACGGAAAGCCAAGGTCATAGGACGTTCAGGTTTTCCATCTGGACTTTTCGGTATTTGACAGGAAAGTCGACGCGCACACCTGCGGGGCAGACGGACGGACGGACGGACGGACAGTGAACCCACCGTCAGAGGCTGGTTATTAGCAGAGGGATGCGGGAATGCGATGCGTTCAGGGCGCCTCGGAAAATAGATAGATAGATAGATAGATAGATAGATAGATAGATAGATAGATAGATAGATAGATAGATAGATAGA